GGCTGAATTACTTTTGCCTTTTCAAAGCTTTCATTAAGATAATAAATAAATTTTAATAAAATCTAAATTAAATGATAATTAGACTATCTTTTAACAGCCAACGATATCGAAAACAAAATTGGTTTTTATATAAGTAAAAACATGGTTTAAACTTCAAGTTTCGAAATTTAATTCCTTGGAAAAAAAAAGCTGAAAATTCAGACACAGCTGGTGTATTCTGTGTGACGAAACTTAAAAGGAATTCACACTAGATAATATTAAGTGATTTAGATAAGGTAGCAACGCTAATTGTTCCTAATGCACACCTTTAGATTAGATAAATTCTTACTTATTTTTAATACCTAAAATATTTTAACACAATTTAAACGCCACCAGTGAGTTGAAATGTAGTTGCGATTAGCATACTAAGATACATATTCATTAATAATTCTCAAATGATTGAGAATATGAAGAATTTTAGAAAATTGTATCAAGAAATATTCTTACACAATGTGTTTTAGAACCGTTGACCGTTGAAACCTCTTATTTGTTCATTTATTATTATTGTTAAATTAAGCACCTTTTTGATAGATTAAGAACAATAAAAAAAAATCAAAAGGACTATGGAATTTTTGGCTATATTTCAATAAAAAAATATATACGACAGTATTCATCCAAAATTTAAAAATATAGAAAGCATTAAAATAAAATATTCTTTTAATTCTTGGAATTCCTTCGTTGTTATAAAATAATTTTGAATTCCTCCCATTTAGATTTCTTATGAAAAAAAAAATGTCAACTGGGCTTTACCCTTATTTTTATAGACATTAGCATTAAAGATTATTAATTAAAAATTAAAAAATATTTTGGATTAAATTATAATTTTTTTTTTTGTTGGGTACTATGAGGGACACCCCTCCATGTCCACCTATGGTGGACCAACTCCCACTATACAAATTATACAACCGTTCGTTTAATTGTATTACTCGTTGCTTAAATGGTAGAAATGTAATTAACATGTATTCAGTCGTTCAGATTGTAGTCAGATAATTCTTATCTACATAAAACAAACGGGACGGAATTTTTAATTTATTTAAAACTCCATATTATACATCGCGCCTTATTGTCAATTCATATTATAATATAATTATAATTATTCTAATAGCCAACTTGTAATGTTAGTAAGGGAGAAATAATTCTGGAAATAAGAAGTGTTGTGTCTTCGTTACGATCCGTCCCGCTGTTGTCTTCGTTACGATCTGTCCCGCTTTGTATATGTAAAACAAAAATGACGGTCACTAAAACCTTTTTTATATAATAGAGAGACAACTTAAAGAAAATTGTGATTTTATAGCAGTTTTACATTTTTATTTCTTATTCTTCACTTAGTGGTGTTTTCTCAGGTTTTCCAATACCCTTGGCCCAATCGTCTATACTGTTTATCCAGTCAGTTACAGTTTATCTAGATCAGCTATGTGGTTTAAATAAACCTTCAAATTCCTTTCATATCCTTATTTTTTTTTTTAAATCTTAAACTAATCCATATTGATCATATTTTTTTGTAAATGATCTGGCTCAAAATTGACTTATGACTTTCCAGAATAAATTTTACTATCAATCTGATCCACTATCAGTTCATCTCATACTTATACACTATTACTTTTAACTACTGTTTGAACGGTTTGTTAGAAACTTTCTGATATGCAGAGGCAAGAGTACCCATCTCCCCTCAATGTCAATGGCGCGAAAACCTATCCCTCCCCTAAGATATTTTATTGCTTACCTTTTCTTAATAACAAAGCAAGCGATGGTAGAACAAGAAAAATCGCAGATCATGTACAATTACACTTGCTGCGGTCAGTTGCATGTTTTTCCTTTAGCCCTAAGTTTGATACTTTTCATTCTGAAAATTCATAACCCTTTCGAAATTTGACTCAAAAACTCAATAACTACTCAAAATATTCTCCCATCAAAATATTTGATGGCGCAACTTGCGCCATGAAATCCCTTTCTGGGCACCTCTACAGAGGAGTGAATAAAGTTGGTATGTGTGTTCTATTGTATAGGCAGTTTTCCTTGACCCTCTGAACATTCCGACGTCATCACCGAAGAATTCCTCCCCCTCCCTCTTTAATGGTTATTCCATTAATATGGCTTCTGATGACGGACCTCCTTTGAACACACGGCACCTTCCGCTGTTCTACGTATCAGGTACCTGGAAATTTACCGTGAACGCATCGACGCCATTACATTATCACTATGGTATGTCAGTTGTTGTTAGTATACTTCAAGGGATTGCTCAACGCACAAGGCCAATTGTAATTGTTCGGCATATTTTTACTTGTTTTTGTTATTTAAATATTTTGTTCTCAGTTCGATGAGAATTCTCATGAACTTAAATCATGTTTGTCTGAAATGTTTCATCATGTAATATGTATAACACATAGTTGTTTCTCGGTAAATGTTAGAAGTGACTGAATGACTAATTTTAATTTTCAGATAATTATTTAATTTCAACACAATTTCCGGCCTGAGAACAAACGTCGGTTCAAGATCCTTGGAATTTTCTCAAGCTTATATTTTTCCCTATTTCTGAACATATGCGCAATTCCTACAATTTTCATCTTGAATTTTAAAAAAAGAGTATTTAATTTTTTTTTTTTAGTAAATTGACTTTATAAATTTTATTTATAAAAATAATGAAGAGTTTTACTGTTTTATTCGAGATGAGTCACAATTTTTTTTTTTTTTTTTTTTTTTTTATGATATCGAGTATGAGATAAAACTACGCTATTTATAATGCATACGTAATGTTAAACATATATGTTAAATAACTATAATATGTTAATATGCAAGTTACAAATAAGAAAAACTCCCATGTTAATTAATTTGCCGATCTATTGGAGGTTTGGTATTCTACCCACATTCTTAGCAGGTAGCTGACCTTATGATGTTCTTTGTTCAACCTTCCATCCCAGAATAATTTTCTTCTTTTATTTGACTAACATGCAAGCAGTTAATGAATTTTAGAAGGAAAGTCATGTTCTTTTGAGATGATGAGACAAAAATCTGAAATTCTTAACACACAATACCTATGTAATAATTAAACTTTCATACAGGATATTGAAAAAATATATACAAAAAAAAAAAGCAATTAACTCAGCTTTTCAAATCGAATTCTTTATTTTTTAACTAATTTCTCACTTTACAATTTTCAACAGAATTAAAATATCCTAATAATTTTTTTAAGTTATGATATTTGAAAAAAAAATCATTCGAGTAAATTATCTTAATTTTTTTTTTTTACATAATAATAAATACCAAGAGTGTTACTTTTTGCGACGGCTTCCAATGCTATGATAAAATTTAATCACTTCAAACGATCGTTCTGTCCTTGTAGACACGCTGATAAAATTCCCTTTTAAAAATAGTGCGCCGTTTTTTGTTTTTTACTCTCAAGAAATGCCTAGAAAATTTTAAGATATGTTCCTTCCAAACGTATATTTTGATTTCAACGTTCTTTCGGAATAACTAGTGATGAAGTTCAAAATACATTACATAATTATTCAAAAATATCTACTACGAATTGTGTAATAATAATTTTATTCATATAGAATTTACTGACCGTTCATAAGGTGCCTTAAACTGGGTTTCGTTCGTGAGCTGCTGAGATTCCTTGAAGTTCTCAGATCGTTTCGACACTGTGTTTCCTCACCGGTAAGGCATCTGTGTTGCGAAACTCAATTCTGAACCACCAAAAGATTAACGATATCAATTGTTTTTATCTTTCGTTTTTATATATTCACTATTTTCCTAAATCAAAAGAAAATTTCAAGATTTCCTGTTGCAAATACATATTTCTTTTATATATGCTAATGAACTATTAGTATAGATAATTTAGTTCTAATGGTAAGTTACATGCTGAAACTAACCAACAGTGAAACAATATTTTTTTCTGATCTGCGGTTAATCCACAGATTAACTATATTCAACTTATATAGCACTTATTTCCGAGGTCTTATAAGACTCTTGAAACAGGTCACTTGAAATGCAATACGCTCTATCAAGATGATTTTAACTAAAATAGATTTTAAGCGGATCTAACTATTTTTTTTTAGTTTCGACTGTTGATGAACTGAATTGAACATACCAGTAAATATGGTCTTACAAATTAGTTAAGTACACGAAATTTGATTATTATTAAGTTTTTTTTTCTTCGGTCTAATCAATATCTTTATTTTGTCCAAAACACTCAGTTCATATCTTTTACTATAGTTGAATAACATTCAAAATTGAGAAAAAAAGGAGTAAAAATTTTGAGGAAGATCCATATTTATAGAGTTAGGAATTTCAGGAGGGAACTATATCTTTGGTTGATTTCAATGTGGAGGCACTTTCAAACCAGGTTACTATAGAAACATGTGGAATATCTCATAGCGAGTGTAATTGTAAATAAATTACAAATTTTATGATCCTACTTTCACTTGCACAATTTTAAGGAAGAGGAGTGCAATAAAAGTTCTTGGAGGAGGGAGGTATATGCTCTATCTCCCTTGCGGTTGGGGAAATGGTTGCTAACACCCCCGATTTAGACAGCATTCGACACTATTTATCATTTCTATAATTAAAAAAAAAATTGGGGTCAAAATGGTCTCTTATATAAATTATGTATTGGTAAATGAGATAATAAAAAAGTTTATAGATAGACCCATAGTCATTTTTTAAAAGATTCTCATATAAAATAAGAATGTAGGATCTTGGTATCCATTTGTTATGATTCCTGCATTACCTCTATATAAGTCACGGTCAGTGTGAAGGGTATACCTAGGATTTATGTCGAGTATAGTAGGGCGCAGTTACTGATCCTTGAGGTACTCCGGCCAAGGTTAAACTACTGGGTTATATGTGAACAACATGCCTTTCTTTACATGTAATTAACTTCTTTAATTTAGGGGATATATTACCCGTTATTATTATTTTGCAGAGTGGAAGCTGGTATGTAGGGGGCATCAGGATGCAGCATGCGAGTAGGATCTACCGGGCCATTCCACTCCATACCTCAAGGGACGCCACAGCCCTGCACAAGGTTCTTAAAAGTTCATCTTCTTGTTGGAGGACCACTATACTTTTTAGTTGAGGTAAGCCATCAATCTTTTAAGTAATGATAATTATATCATGATATATTTTCTTGCGCACGCGCTATATTCAATACGGAATTAAATTTAACATATATAAGTATAATATAGTCAGGGAATAGGGTAGATCAGTGGGTAAACCACTGACTTCCAATGCGAAAGATCCAGGATTCTATTTAGGCTTTTGCAGGTAATCATTTATTTTGTTAAAACAGTCGTGGATCGATTCTGGGACCAGCAGACCCTGGGGGCACTCTCAGCCCCAATGAATTTCTTAATGAAATAAAATTTAAATAATTAATTAAGAGGGAAAACCTGGACAAGTGAGCATGAACTTGACTCAATCACTTCCCTACACAACCTCGTGTTTGTAATAGTACTTCCTTACAAAGTACTAAATTCAAGACCTTCCATGCATGGGTTGCGGTGATACATTTTTTTTTTTTTAAAAAGTATAAACAATTTCTTGAATTTCACCTTAATTTTACATTAAGCAGTCAGATAACGTTATAATGTGTACCATATTTTTATTAAACTGACATTTAAATTACATATTGTCAGTAGTCCTCGAAAATAGAATGAAAATATTATAAAATATGTTTTTTTTTATGAAACTTCAGTTTTATTCCATCGTCCTTCACAACTATGGCGTTGATTGTTTAATAATAGGAGTCAAATCAATTATTGAGTCATGAGTAATTTCCTTTAATGACTTCATCAAGTCATAAATCAAATCAACGAAATTCCAATCATAATAATTTTGTTTATCTCTTTGTCGTTCACTAATAGTCAAATATAAAACTGTAATAGGTTGATGAAAAATTCTAGAGGCGATTACCGGTTTCACAACCTAATTATTAGCCTATTAAACTATTTTTATTAGTATAATTAAAAAAAATTGAAAACATTTAATAGCCATAATTGAAAATTTAATTTAATTATATGTTTACAGCCCAAGTCGCGCACGAAGGATCTCTACGCAGAACTATGCAGTTACATGAAGTCCCAGGGAATGCAAGACACCGCTCTTTTCGGATTGTCAGTCCTATTAGGTAGGCATACAGTGAAATGATTATATATATATATTTTGTAGTACTGAATATTTTATCCTAAAAATAAATATTAAGAAATATGAGTACATTGCTGGACTGAACCAAATAAAAAACGCTGCAAATTATTTCACAACGGTTTATTATTTCCAAACAATTATACATCTAAAGTAACATTACCTTCCGAGTTACAAAGGAAAAAACAAAACAAAAGGTGATTCCAATTATTGGACAAAACTGTTTTTCTGTAATCACTAGTAATATGCTAAAAAAAATTAGCATTAGTTCAGTAACACATTTAAAATTTAAAAACCAAACCTAGGATGTAACATTTGGAGTAGAACTCATTAAAAAAACCGGAGACCATATCTTTGCTCCTAATTGTCCGATTTTAATGATTTTTTTTTTTTTTTAGGAAATTTCGTAAACTTTTAAAAAACAATACAATATCCACAAAAAAGCTTTTTGAGTTATTCGAAATTTAATATTACCATCCCTAGTAACTTTTTTTCCAGCTTCTTTTCGTTGAAGTATGTTATATAGATAAATTTAAATGGCGTCGAGAAAATGACTTTAGCGAAGTTTCATTGAAATCTCTACATTCGTTGAGGAGCTACAGTCTATAGCAACGCAGGTTTTTCGGTTGCCATTTTAAAAGTTAAAGGCGGAGAGTAATGTCGATGAAGGAGGATCATCCTCGGGTGACCTCTGATTTTACATCAAAATTTGAAAAAAATCGGTTCAGTATTTTCGGAGAAAATGCGAGGACGGCGTACGGCGGACAGCGGACGAACAAAAAAAATTTTATTCGTTTTCCGAATTCTACGCGTCTTGAAACGTGAAAACTAAAATTTTGAGAGGGGATTATGTTTTTGAATTTTTTGGTCGATCACAATGTTTCATTATTGAAAGTAATAAACCAAAATACTTCTGCCTATAACTTTATTATTATTATTTATTATCCATCATGGGTGTTCGAAAAAAAAATTCTTTTGGGATAATTTTAAACGCTCACAACTCCGCTTCTATAAATGCTAGAAAGCTAGGATTGGTATTCTTTGATAGAAAGAATATTCCATCAGAGAATATATATATATATATATATATATATATATATAATATATATATATATATATATATATATATATATATATATATATATTCTTTGATAGAAAGAATATTCCATCAGAGAATATATATATATATATATATATATATATTATTTGATCCTAAGAAGGTAGCTCGGCAAACGAGTAATATTCGATGAAGAACAATTTTGACGATTTCAAGATTTTTTGTTGGTTTCAGAGTTTAATGGTGTGATATTTAGTCATCGATCATGTTGGGCTTGTAGCAATGAAGCACCTCGAAAAGTTTAATATTAATGAATCGACATATTGCAATCCGCCCGTATGACAAAAAAATATTTTGTGGATTTCGGTCATTTAAAAATAATTTTTTAATATCGCTTTATCATCGATCCTGGAATAGCAGTCATTATTTGCGCTGTAACCACTAGCCGTGAAAATTGGCCTCCACGCACTTGCACTAGATTCATTACAGCTTTTAGATTCTTAACTATGAACTATGCTTCTTTTCACAGTCTCATTTACTCCTGAAACAATGTTACGTCTTACAAAATACAATTTAAAATAAATAAGACAGCATTTTTCGGTGTGAGGAACTGATTTCATGGTTTCAATCCAAATTTTTTAAATTGTTAATTGCTTAAATGATAACCGAGATGAATAACAATTTATTTATTAAATTTAATAGTTTTTATTCTCCGATCCATCCAAACAAAGTTAGAGATGTGCGAACTACCTCAAATTATGGAGTTTAAAAGGAAGGCTTCTGTCAGTTAAGAATTCAACATATTCAGAAGAATTGTATTTCTGAAGGCGCATCTAAGGTTGTTTTTTTTTTTTAATACCTTCAATTATAACATTATTAGTTGTACCGCACAGTTTCAAATTAAATTATGATTATACTTGCCTGTTTCAATTTATTGTGATACATAATGACTATTTCATTAAATAACTGAATAACATCATTCAATATTTATGGGACTCTTCCATTTGTATGGGTCATAGGGTAAAGTTATGAGGCCTAAACCATTACTCATTACGGTATGGACCATTCCAATTGGAATGGTAATTCCTGTAATTTGTGCGTTTTAACAAATAAATTCTTTAGCTTTACATATTAATTGATATTTATCCAAGCAGCATCCAAATTTCGTATTTTTTATTGCCGGTATATTAATTCATTATTAGTTTTGAAAAAATATTTTTTAATAAACAAATTAACGTTTAGGAAGTCAAAGGTATAATAGGGCTGTTGTATCCGATTTACATTAGCATTACCGAAAGAAATTGTATCTTCTCCGATTTCTAATGGCAGATCCAAAGCGGTCAAGACAAGAAAAGTCCAAACAGGTTGCGAAAATAAGTTCCAAGATTCCAAGGGTTCGGAACCAATAATCAAATACCCGAAATCTGACAAACCGAATCGAGGTTAGTAGCTGTGGCCTAGGAAGGACGCCTATAATCGAACATCCCTGTTCCTTTATCCGGGTCATCATCGGCGTCCTTCCTCGCCCATCCAGCTCTCTGTTGAGGGCGTTCCGCAAGAGAGTATGTTATAGTTAAGGACTGAGATAAGTATACCGGAGCCTCTATTTAATGAGAAGTGGTAGCATATTAATCAAGCAATTAGCAGAGATAAAAATAATAACACAAGGCCGAAATTCTTCTAGGAATGTTCAAGTGGGATTCTAAATTGCTAAATTACGATGGACCGCGCACTTATCTCCAACCTCGGTTATGGAAGATGGCGTTCTTGCTCTATAATTATTCTATTGTTTGGCAATGAAATCTATTGAGGAAGCCGGCCATTAACTTATATAATTTACCAGGAATTTAATTTTAGATTCTTATCGAACAGTAATAAAAGGATCGATTCGAATTCTTTCCTTTGTCGCAACAATGTAATGCTTTAATATTTATGGTATGAGACGAATAATAAATATAGCTATGTAATTACCCTCTCTGTTCGGAACCTTAGCAGGCTCATTAGCACTCCTCGGTGTGAAAATTATTCTTGGTATTCCCTGGTAAAGGAATTTGATTAAATACCGCGAAGTAATTAAAGCTTCTAAATATAGTACTTAAGCTGATGCAAGGTTTTCCTTCGGTTTTGCCTTGTTTCAATTATATCAATAGATTGCCGGTTTCCTTTTACTAAAGCGGTTAGAAACAGAAGTTTTTGTTAATAGCTGCTTTAGTTTCCAATTACATTTTGATTCGTCTCCTCTCCTGTGTCCATCTGTTTATATACAGCCACACATTCCATCACTTTTTGGACGAAAATCCGATAAAGAAATTGTGTAGGAGTTCCTAATCAATGGAGTTGATAGGATTGGTGTCCTTAAGATTTTTACAATTGGGATTTCACTTTATTTATTGTTATTTTGCTATATCTAACCTGTAAAGTCACTGATAACATATTTAATCTGTTTTTCGAATTTCGTTGATTTAAACAGTTTTTTTTTTTTCAACTTTTTCCTTTTCATATAAAGTTTCTTTCAACGTTCGGGACTGGTCGGCAATGTACAGAGGGCAGATTCTTCTTTTCAAGTTTTTTCATGTTTTCTATTTGGAGTAGTGGTTGTTTATCAGATAGCTTCAGATTTGATTTATTTTGTCCTGCTACACTTTCCAGATTTCTAGGAAGTCTTCTGTATAGTGTATATTAATTGTTATAACTGGGTTTTGCCTGGTTTTCTTACCATATGATCCATCTGATCTGCTGATTTGTTTCTAGCGATCGAGCAGTATAAAGGGATCCTCAGATATGTAATTTTTCCTTACCCTTTTTTATTAATATTTTATTAATATAATACTTGAACTTTATTTGGAATGTGCATATTGACTTGAGTTTTCATAATAGAAGTATGGGTAAGCTAGTGTCACTTCATACCGTTTGGAGTTATTGTCCATAACTATATGGTTACTCAAATATCACAAGACAGCATTGATGAACCACATTAGAGTTAAAGGATTAGCACCAGTAATATCTTAAGGTTTAGGTATCGGCCCGAATGCTGCGGTCATTAGAAGGTGAATAGAGCATATGGCACTCTTGATGACCATGTCTGACTTGATTGCTTATTAACCTCATCCAACAGAATTTTTTTCGGATAATTTTATTGGTAATTCTTCCATAGGCTTACCAAATGTGATACTCACAAAAAATTGTTTCATATTATTAATTATTGAATATTGTAGAACATAGATTTGCCGACACTGAAACCAGTAGGGTATCATGCTATTCGCCCATGAAAGAGAAAATGCGCAAGATGCGGCGTTGTGCGCTCAGTTCTAGAAATCCGTCCTGGTTGGAATGCCAACAGGCCAAGCTTTCTAGAAAGGCATCCCGCAGCCTTCCTTTCTGTATTTCAGATATTACTCTCTCGTCCACACGTCAAAGGTTGTTCTGGAATTTCCGATTTCTTAACATATTTTAAAGAACAAAAAAAAAATCAATTATAACTCCTTACGCAAGATAAATGTCTAGATCTAGTCGAGTCAGCCTTAAAATGCATAAATTCTAATATTTGAAGATTTTTCTTAGATACAAAATAATCGAGATTTTTGTTTTAAATGTTAAAAAAAACTTTTAAAAACAAATAAATCACGATCAAGTATGTCAAGAAGAAAAATAAATAATTGACCTACACTAATTTTGTAACCATAATAAACTGAGGTAAATGAAAAAAATATACAAAAATCAAATTTTTTCTTCTCAAACATTTTGTTATGTTGTCAAGAACCTAGAAAAAAAGGAGGTTAAGATAAGAAATTTCTTTAGTTAAGTAAGCTAGTTTTATTTTTTGCTCCTTTTTCAGTCAATATAAATATTTTAAAATAATAGATTTTACAAAACAAATTAATTAAATAAGAATAAATACATATATTTTTACTAAATTATTCACTATAAAT